TTATCAAAAAAGTACGCCTTAAGACCTTCGTAAAAATTGAAAGGAAAGTTGATGAGGATTATGCCGATACCCAATGGCATATAACAAATAGCGAGCAAAATGTCGTATAGTTCAAAAATAACTATTTCAACAATAAACCTGTAGATACTTTTCACTGGCATCAAGATGGTTATCGACACAATGTACAAGATTTCCCATATAATAAGAAGTATATCACGGCATGGAGGGTACACTACGGACCGCACAAATCCTGCTGGACTTGGAATGCCGTCAAGGATGGAAACAATGATGAGGATAAATATATACATTTTGTTTCTCTCGGCGTAGTTTGGTGCGTCTGTTGTCATTTCTGCTAAAAATGTAAAAATTGTAACTTTTATTCAGAAATAATATATATACATGTATATACTTTTGCAGATTTCAAGTATATTTTATGGCATTTAACAATAAGATATATATGTCAAAAGAATTTCCTTTTGTTTAATTTTGATTTATTTCCACGAAAAGAATTGACATTTCTTAAATTCAACTGTTGATTATACATGTATTCTTATTACATTCAAATTGAGATATTTAAGCAAAAAAGAGAAAGAAAATAGTAATCGATATGTTTTGCATGTAGATTTTAATGTTTGTTCAGAGACTTGAACCTTGGAAATACAAAAAAGAAAAGAATTTTGATGAATGTGTCAATTTGCTGTGAATAAACATGGAAATCGAAATTTGTTTGCACGAAATTGGAGGTATTTTCTTTTAATTTCCCTTTTTTAATCATTACACATTTAGTAATTTAACTGTAGCAGTCGAAGGCACTTGATGGACACGGTTATATGATTTGATGTGCTCTCGACATAACGGACATGTACGATTTCTCCAGGCAGAAATGCAGCTGTGGCAATAGATATGCCTACATGGATTGCAGAAATAGGGGTGTTTAATTCTCTCAAAGCAAACTGGGCAAATGTCCATTTTCCAGACGTTGGATCTTTGGAAAATACATGTATCTACAGAACAGTACGTATGAACAATGAATAATTATATAGACAATGTTATACATGTACTTTTATGGCGTAAAATGTGAATGGGAAAATAATCGTATATAATTCAATTTATTATACCTCTATTGATAATACTCGAATTTGGCTGGTAAGAAAGCTTTACAACACAACAATGACTCCAAATGGTACTGTTTACGGCAATAATGACCTAGGAATCATTGCACGTGGGAAATAATAACCCGGTCATTAGAATTGATGACCGCTACAGTAAATTATGACCTCTTAATCAAAAATTCCTTTTTGAGTATTTAAAGTTAATGCATAAAATAATAATAATTCGAGAAAAAGAACATGTTTTTAAAATTGTGCATGGTCTGTTTTGAAATACCATACAGAATACGGTAAAATTTTATCGTTAACTTAAACGGTTTACTCATTTCAAAATACAAACGTTTTGTTATAGGTCTGCAGTTCAATGTAATGTAGAAGCGGCTTTTTTAAGAGTTGAATTCTGCGTTAGATTTTGACTGTGTAGAGGAAAATTAAGTAATCGTTAGTTAAAACAATGTATATCGCTATCAACCAAATATTGTTTTAATCAGTAAATCATGATGCAAAAACTTACACGACTTGCAGACGTCAGTGTAAACAACTTCGCTATACGGAGTGTAGCGAATCCCGATCCCGATCAAAGAAAGAATTGATAACTGTTAGAGATTCATACTTTTCAATATATATATCGGTATAATAAAACAATTGATTACCCCTTTTTGAGTTCAACATGGTGAAATACGCGGCCTCGGTCAGGTCAGGTCACCTCGTGGGCCAGGTCTCGGGTCCTTATTTCACCATGTTGACCTCAAAAGGGGTAATTAATTGTATAATAATTCATGTGAAATATCGCAACATTGGTCTTCCGCATATATTACTGTTCTGTAGAAGGACGCTGGCCATTTACTTTTTTCTAAAGTCTTTTGAAATTTTGATTATAAATTGCTGACAAAGATCAGGACATAACAAACATAAGACCATGCTACAAAAGAAATTCACTGTAACTAATGTCGTTTTGTTGTTCTAGATAAGCATTTTAGGATCCTTTATATATATTAACCCTCAGAACAACACTGACTTTTTTTCAGTTAAATAGAAATAGTTCATTAAGTCCATAAAGTATAGCATTATTTTCCTAAAACCAGTAAAATTTGAAGAACTCTTAAGTTGGCAACGAATTCGGTAATGCGCTTCGAATATATAAATTCAATTCATTTGTAATGTTATACTTATATCACTGAAATTATTTGAAAAGCGCCCATGACAAGGGTAAAACATATTGTGTAGTCAAAAAACTTGATTTAATGAGTGATTCCTTTCTTGATGAATGTATGCATGTCTGGTATTACGGTGACGCATTTTCCATAATCTTTACTTAACAATACTGAATCAGATTCTGCAGGATCAAGGATGTTTCCAAATTAAAAGTGAGTAATGTCTATCTGCTTCTCCCTATTATAAAATGCCTCAAATACCTGTTAACTAGGCAAAATTAAGAATATTTGAAATATTTTTTAAATAATTTAGAATCCAACTTTTTTCTATCGTAAAATTCCCATTTTTAGCAATATAGCCTTTTTACCAGCGTATGGGGTTTATATCTCCCAATAGGCTCGATATCAAAGAGCAGCCTCAACGTACAGACGATTTTTAAAGGACGAAAGCTATTGACACATTAGTTGCTGAAACGGGATCACCAGTCACTTCAAAGTCATTTCGCAAGTCCTATATTTTTGATACAATAAAATGTCATCAAATAAAGTCTTACATTAACTCGAAAGCTGACCGATATTTTAATATATGTTTAGACAATTATTTACAAACTGAATTGTCTATATTCTTTGTCTGTTTTCTGATCATGACAAGGAGGAGACAGCATATGTGACTGTTAAGATGCTTACCCTCAACGGTACCTGATCCCACAGAAGATGTTTATAGAGGTATTTTTTTCTTTGCTCTATATTTACATTATTCATATTATTTCAATGGATTTTTTGAACTCCTGTACTGTTCGTAATCTTCATATTCTATATATCTATGCAAAGTCCGCCGGGAACATGCTTTTAAAAAATTAACCTTCACATCCTATTGATACTTGCAACTTAATGTGACAAGTCAAGAACTAGGTGGTTTTTTTTAACAATCTATGTTTTGCTCCTGTTTATAATAAATTGAATGATGAATATATTATTGGTACTTTTGTTAGTATATCTTTGCATTTGATTGGGAAATTTGGTTTATTCGCAGAAAAAAAATCTGTTGACTTACCTGCGCAAAGATATTATTATCAACACACACACACACACACACACACACACACACCCTCACACACACACACACACACACACATACCCTCCCTCTCTCTCACACACAAACACATGTGATTTTAACCCATGTCAATGCCTATTCTAAAATTCATCCTCTTGAAACGAAAGTACAACCTTTTAAGTTTGCTATCTCAATGTTTACTTAACTTGAAACGTCCTTGTTAAGCAATGTATTAATTATACAACCATAGGCTATTTCAAAAAGAAAGATATGACTTCCTCGTGTAATAAGTAAAGGAATAAGGATATGGAGATAACGAAGAGTATTTAATCTCAAAGTCCATCAGACGGACCTCCGAAACATCAGAGGTGGGATCAGGTGCCATGGAGGAGTGAGCATCCCCTGCCGACCGGTCACACCCGTCGTGTGCTCCTTGTCATGATCAGGAAATAACGGAAATGATCCGTCGTCAATTCAGTGTATAAAAAATAGACTAACAATTCGTATGAAAAACGTCAGTCAGCATTTGACTCAATTATAAATTGTATTTGCTGACAAGGTTATTGTATCGACCACAGAACTTACTAAATGATGACTTTAAACGAGACTGCTCGAGCAAGGAGTAATGTTCAGTGTAGTTACACATAGTTTAACATGTAACACAGAAAGATGACATAGATACACTGAATGGGTCTTTGAAGGATATTTGTTTTGTAAATCCATATCAATTTTATATATGTTATCGATATTTTTATATGCTTAGATCATTATTACGTGTATGAGTTTTCTATGTGTAAGTTATGTTTCATTAAAAAGAAGGGCTATTCCACATCTTTGTATTTTTATCAGACATGATACTCAGAAAATAAACTGTCAGTATCCCACAACGAACCTTTTCAATTTTTTTTTCATCAGTGAAAACCATCGAGTGAAATTCAAATTAATGGATTGATTAAACATACAGGGCGGAAGTTTTCATTTTATTCATATACATGTAGGGTTTAAATTAACATAAAAATTCAACAAATTCTCAGAGGGGGAATCAAATGCCTAGAAAGAGAAAGTATTCCCTTTTGATCGGTCAAATTTGCCGAGGGCCTTTTGGTTATGTAAATCTATGTTTTGCTTTCTTTATCAACAAAATCGACACAAAAATAACTTCGCACTAATGCAACCATTAATGTGTTATTTTATTGTTTTTTTAATGGCATGAACTAATGAAAACTTGTAAGAACAAGATTAAAAAAGTTTTTATAAAGTTAAACTGCACATGAAAATGTACGCGTTGTACATAATTGTTTAATATACTCTCAATTACAATGAGAATATGGATTTTTTCAAAAGATGCAATTATCAAGAATACTCATCTTGTAAGCATTTTTGTATCAATCAGCCGTATCTATAATGAAAATACATTTCATTTTAACAAAAAAAAACCTGATATATTTGGAATTCAATTTATTTGAAAGAACTTTTGAAAGCTACTTTTAAAAAAAAAGAAGCATGTGTCAATTATACTTACGTTGTATGCATTTTTGTATCAATAAATCGTAAACTAAATGAAAATACACTACACTTTATTTAAAAACAAATAAATTATATATTATGTAAATTAACACACAATGAATTCTAAAGCATTTTTTAAAGGATAATCAACTCTTTCTCTTGCAAAAATTAGTTCTGTGTGCAAAGCTTCTTACTACACTGGGTCCTTCGGATGAGACCGTATAAAATGATGGAGGTCCCGTGTCGCAGTAGGTGCTGTCACGAAAAAGATCCCTCGCTGCTCAATGGCCCTGAAATTTGTAGCTCTCTACCAGCGAGTGTCGGCTTCTCTTTATGAATAAAATATTGAGAGGGATGTAAAACAACATACTATAAATCATACTAAACTGATGTATAAGTATATTTACTGATACATTTCTATTCAGTCTATCTTGAAAACAGGATCTCAGGTGTTTCCTCTTATACGCTCTATACCTTCAAGAATTTTCTTGTACACTCTGCGAAATCTGCTTTTACACGTTCGTTGAATTCTCTCAAATGCCCGTAACCAAAATATTTGTTTAGCAGGATCTATTAATAATACAACCAGTACAAGATGGATTGTTCTATGAAATAAAGACGACCAACTGTTATCGAAAAAGTACGTCCTCAAACCCTCGTAGAAATTGAAAGGGATGTTAATGAAAATTTTACCGATACTCAGTGGCATATAGCAAATTGCAAGCAAAATGTCATACAGGTCAAAGATGACTATTTCAACAATCAACCTGTAGATACTTTTCACTGGCATCAAGATGGTTATCAACACAATGTAAAAGATTTCCCATATAATAAGAAGTATATCACGGCATGGAGGGTACACCACGGACCTCACAAATCCTGCTGAACTCGGGATGTCGACAAGGAGGAAAACAATGATGAGAATAAACAAGTACATTTTGCTTCTTTCAGCGTAGTTTGGTTTGTTTGATGTGTTTTCTGCTAAAAATGAAAAAAAAATTAGATTATTTTTTTAAGAAAAGACTAAATCTGTTTTAAATATGGTTTCAAATAAATTAATATTTTGTATTTACTAAATATTATCAATACAATATTTGATTAAACCTGTAGATGACAACTCCTGATGTGCGGGGTGGAATGATTTAATTCGTTCTCGACATAGGGGGCATGTACCATTCCGCCAGGCATAAATACAGCTAAAACAAAAGATGTGTCTGCATGGGTTGCAGAAGAAAGGGTTTCTGATCCGCTCGAAGCAAATTGGGCAATTGTCCATTCTATCGTTGAGGTCAGGATGTTTGGCTAGTAGTTAGAGGGGATAAGCTACGATTTAAAAAAAAAAGAAAAATCAATTCATTCCATTAAAACAAATATTTTCTCTAATATCGATAGAGGCGTTTAACTTTTCATAATAAATTAATAAATGTAAATATATAATGTAATATAAATCAGTATACTCTGTGTTGCTCTGTTGCTCTTTATATTTTAATACAAATACATAATGTAATTGTTTTATCCTGTAAAATTTAAATTCCTGTATGTCTCTACCACTTTTTTTTTATTTAGTAGTATACCATTATCACCTGCATGTGGGGTTTAAGTTTCCAAGTTTATTACATGTATTAGATACTCAGTAACCCAGTTAACGTACAATTGCAATTTCTAAAGCAAAGCAATCTATTGACAATTAAGCATATTAATATAAAAAAGGACACAAAAAATATTATCAATTTGGACAAAAATTATTTTGAAAGTTTTATGGTCGATTCAATTACCTTGTAAAAAAAAATGCAAGCCAGTATTTTATCGTCTGCAGCTTGACGGCTTGACTAATTTTTAGGTCATTATACACTACTTTGTGATTCAGTTTCAGTTTCTTTATTTCTTTAAGCCAACTGGCCCATCAGAGTTATACAACAAACATGATAATAACAAAAAGAAAAAAAACATACAGAGAGAGTGAACGTAAAGAACACATACATGGGAATAATTCTATACATCAATTTTATTTTTTCTTAACATTGTTGCTGCGTTCAAAAATTTGCCCAAATTTACGAGATCTTTAATATTATGAGAACTTAATAGCTGAATTAATTTAAAGACACTAGGCCTAGTATAATAATACTTTTTCAAAAATTTCTTTCTTATATCAATATACAATGGACATTTCAAAATAAATGAAATTCATCTTCTATATCATGGAGATTACAACATGTACATAATCTATTATTTTTAGGTACGTTATGGTGTCGACCTGTTTCAATATTCAACGTGTGATTAGATAACCTGAATTTTGTTAATAGCTGTCTTAATTTTTTTGTCAATAGGTTTTGTTAAATACCATTGCAAACAGAAATTGTCAATTAAATGTTGATATAAATTACACTTTGAAGAGTTTGATGTTATATTATATATATAGCTTGCCTAGAAACATCTAACAGTCGTTGTTTTATAATGAGATAAGATGTATCATTTAAATTATCTTCTGTCCAAAGTTGACCTAGACCTAAGAGGGACAATTCTTTTTTAATATGTAAAATCCATTTGTCATTATGTAATACCATGCTTTCATAACAGGTCTTAAGAATGCAATTTTCAGTTGTTTGATCCAATATTTGAAAATTCTTAATTTCATTGTAACTGCTAATGGAAAACGCCCGAGCTCTGAATAAATCAAACTGTTTGAGGTTTTCTTCCCCACACCTAGAGTATTTTTACAGAAATTTAAATGTACCTTTTCTATGTCAGAACATCTATGAAAACCCCATATCTCAGTTCCATAAAGTAATACGCTACATACATATGTATCAAAAATTGAACATAGAGTTTCTACATTAAATTCATACCTCTTTAATTTACTTGAAATAGCAAACATAGCTTTTCTTCCTTGTTCAGCAGCATGCTTCTGCGTTTTTAAAAATTTCCCATTAAAGTTAAATAAAATACCTAGATATTTAAATTCATTCACAATTTCTAATTCAGCATTATTATAGAACCAGGATTCGTTATTACGTAATTTACCACCGTTTCTAAAGACAACAATCTTTGTTTTTGTTACATTAACAGAAAGGCTCCTAGTCAGGCGGCATAGGCAACCTATTGTGCATTTTGTGATAAAAGCACCAATTTTTGTACAAATATAGAAATTTATTGTCTGAACAAATCTGGATATTGGGCCATCGTGGAATCATGTCATGGCGGACATGACGGCCATTTTACAAAATGGCCGCCATAATTTTTCGTTATATTTGAAATTTACTTAAATCTCTCTCAATATAAGTGATTAATCATGGTATACAGAAAACAAAAACACTCTCTTTGTCTTCAAAAAGAAAAAGAAAAAGTTTTAAATGAAATAAAATGGTTATAACATTTCTTTAAAACAAACAAATCCACTTTTTCCTCATTATTTAACATTAAAAGAACATATACTATCTGCTTTTGATGTGCATACTCTCTATGATTTAAATATGTTCATTTGTGAGCATTATGTCCCTTTGAGAATTTTTTCATTCGTACTATGATGTCATCAGGTGCTGCTTGGTGTGAGGGGTGTGTGTGCAAAATTACACCTATACTCTGTACAATCTATTCATAAGTGGTGGATCTTTTTCACAACAGCGCCTTCTTAGACACAAAACTTATATCTATTTTGTCTCATCGTGCACTGGGTTGGAACTTACTTTTGTTATTAATTCCTTAATTCGCAACTTTAGACTTTAAAACACTCGATCTAACCACGCGACTTACCCTATGGTTAATTTTAAAAGCATGTACTACTAAGTAATGAAACAGTTAAAAAGACAACATGTTTATATATGTAAGGTATATATCTCGTCCTGGTGACCACAATAAAAGCTTTGACAAAGTTGTTGTTTGTCCTGACTTTCAGTAATCACTATGCTCCTTCACATTCACATATGCTAGTGCACTTGAGATCTGAAAGTTTGCAACAAAACTTTTTTGAATTACATCCTTTATTTTTCAAGTCACAGTTGCATCTTATTAGTTCATAACAGACTTTGGAGGCTTCCAGCAGTGTTGTCCATTGGGGCTCATACAGACCATCTGTCATAATCCAATCCTTCTTGATAGGAGAGGGTAATAATGGATTTAGTTGCAGTACCTGTCCCCATACATGTCCTCCCTGGTAAGTTGCTCGTTTTACATGCTGTAGGGCAGCCTTTGTTGGCAGAATTTGTTTCACATCTAGTTTACTTGCGAAGATCTTTTGCCGAGCTTGGTTTATGTCAAAGCATGTACTGGTCCTGTCATAGAGAAGGATGACAAATCTTCAATGGTTTGCATAACATCGCTTGGTATATTAGTTGGTGGACAAACTAATTTAACAAGTGCGTCAGTGAGCTAAGGTAGGGCCTTCCAAGTTTTCCTGCAGTTTTTTTGCCACGCCCACCAAAGCTGGAAACAGTGTCACATCCAGTCAGCGTATGAAACATTGGAAGTGTAAAAGCTTTTCTGTGTCCAAGGCCACGTCCAATTATATTGGCTGCCACGTGACGGAAATTTTTTTCCAGTTCCAAAGGCTATCCAATTTCCGTCTCTGGGTTCAAAGTTTCCACTACGTACACAGCCAAGACCACAACATTGGTGTCAACAGTACAGATCAGTATTCTGTTATGGCCTTGGCGAGATGCATGTGCTGTGTGTAACAGCATTCTGCTATCTGCTTCCTCGTGATTACATGGAGAAATCGAAAGGATATCTTGTATTTGGAGCTTTGAAAGAACATTTTTACCATCGGTGATAACTATTTGGTTGACACCTTCATCAAAAGTCGTTACTAGAGGAATCTGTAAAGTTCCGTCTTGTTTCTATCTACTCGAGGAAATCTTGCCAATCTCTAGGTACTGCTGACTCGGCAGTCACACGTATTCGTTTTCTCATGCCTCGCTTTGCTCAAGCGGTACCTTTTAATGAATTGTCTACATGTTTGTCCCATACCAGGTCTATACGCGAAGCTCTTAGAAACTGAGGAATTATATGGAATGAGGTTCTGATGAGCATAATTTTCTGAGGTCTTAGCAGTACCTGACCTAAGCATTTGAACAACAACTGAACCATTTAGAATTACACAGCTTGTCAAAGGAGGCTCAGACCGCTCCTCGTCAAATTCCTCTAAGCACTTAAGAAGGTCACTCTTGGTTCCAAGATGGATGTTACATGCATCAGAAAGTGAAGGCTGGCATAGTGGATTCTCATGTCGAAAGAATTCTCTAATAATTGTACAGTGTGTTTAACATTTTTTGTAAGCCTTCTGGAGATTCAGCAAAAATAACCATGTCGTCTGCATACATAAGTATGAATAAATTTAACATCTGTAAATCAATATATGGACAGTTATCTGATATAAAACCAACCTCGAAATCATTTACATATAATGAAAATAATATTGGTGATAATGTTTCCCATTGCATTAAACCTATATCATTGTGGAAGTAATCACTGAGGAAACCATTGTATATTTAACAAAACTTTTAACATTATTGTATAGGGATTTGATTATCTTTAACATTTTACCTTGGATGCCTAAATGAAATAATTTTTGCCATAATTTTATCCTATCAACAGAATCGAATGCTTTTTGAAAGTCAACAAAACAGCAATATAATCTTTTCTTAGTAGAAAGTAGTGAATTGTCAACATTTTTGCATTCCTTGCAATCATAAAAAGGAGTACAGGCTGAATGTGACCGGCTGATAGAGGAAGCTTACACCACTATGACACCCGATCACACCTCGGATGCTTAAAGATGTCCCCGTATATTTTGCTCAATGATTCAATGGACTTTTGATAACCATTCTCTATGAATATCTCTATATTTCACATATCTATATTCAGTCCGATGAGAATTATGATTTAAACAAATAAATCTTCACAACCTAACAAGTCTTGCAAACTTTTGTAACAATTTATGCAATTTTTCTTAGTCCCTTTCTCTCCCGTGTATCAAATAGCGTAATCTAAATATTCCCGAAAATCCGGGTGGGGGGGGGGGGGAGGGGTAACAGTTCTTTTAAGGGCACTGATGTGTTGAGCAACCCTCATGTACATGCTGCGAATCTTTAGTTTAAACCATATTTTATTTGAACATGACAAGCAAGAAATACAGGCAAGAAGTACAAAGATCAAAAAGGATTCGGATCTTTGAAACTGAATTTGTTCAGTTGTTCCTTTAAATTAAACTTTTTAAATTTCAAAGTCAATATTTTTTCTTAACATCTGAGTTATCACTGCACTGGGCGTGTACCGTCACTGAGCATTCAAAAATTCTCTTCACACTTTCGTTTTCTAAAGTA